CACATGCAACACACCATTATCACTGACGTTTGAGAGAGAACATAGAATGCCATTGGACCTTCTGAACTGGCATCCTGAGAATAGTCACTTGACAGAGTTTAACCCAGAATATGCAGAGCCTAAGGATCACTGTTGATGTCATGCATGACTTAAACCATGACAGTCTTAAATCAGCTGGTGAAAAAATGAAGAATCTCTCTAATGTTAAACTGATAAAGCTGGATTCCATCGATTTGATATGTTATGGATTTATACCCCTCCCCCATCCCCATAGAAAGAAGCACTGATGTAGTTAAAATAATCCAGAGGAACAGATAATGCAAGCATAACATTATCCACCTTGAAGCTTTGGAAGTACATCATTGAGAAAATGGCCAACTGGGTAACTCAAAGAAGAATTTGTCAGCAGAAAATCAACCTGTTGAGAAGCCTGGGATTGATGTTGAGACCACATTCAGAGGATGAAAAGTGTTAAGCCACTCGATCATCTGTCCAGGGAGAACTCCCTAAGCTACAGAACAGAAAATAAAAACAAGGGAAAGGAGGCCATCTATCTGTATTCCATAACCATCAGAAAAAAAAATCCACCAAAAAAAGCTTGATGAATGAACAATTTAGTGTACTGTTTTATTTTTGTGCTAGTATTTTCAAGAACTTCACAATCCAGGTGGTAGTTTTATAAGTTACATTATCAATATTTTAATTTAGATGTTAGCTAGTAGTTGCATGACATTAAAATCAAGAATGTTCACAAAAGTAGTCCTAGAATCTAGAAACTTTCCTTACTTGGTAGAAGTGAGAATTCAGTATAAATACAAGTAGTTAATGATCAATAGGAGATTCATTGAGTAAAGTTATTCAATAAGGGTTAATACTTCTGTAAGTTAATCATCACTTGTTGTTAACCAAGGAAAGTTATACTAAACGTCATTAGTGTATTAGGACTAGAGTAGTTTCAGAGTTTATGTGGAAACGTTTGTTTGTGGAGTTATACCCATAACTTGCATCACAGTGAACGCAGGTTATAGCAGACCTTTTCTGAAAAAAACACGCGTGTGCAGTGATTCACACGTGCAAATAAATTTACGCATGTGAACCACACAAGTTCTTAAAGTGAAACATTGGGACAAGGAAATAAATAGGAAGAAAGTATTTACTCTTTAACATCAGGAATAGTTGCATTATATTAGCAGAATTGTTCATTTTATAAAACTGTAAAAATAAAGAAGAAACCACACAACACTAATATGTTCAAAAGGTTCGTTGTAATTTTTTCCCCACTCTACAAGGTTCTCGTCCGGATCGTCTAAGATTCTTCTTCCTCATGTTAGGCTAAATGTCTGTCAGCTGCATCACTTCTCGAAACTTCGTTACATATTCCTATTCAGATATAATTGTTGTTTTTCTACCTTTTGCAGTGTAGTTCTTATATTTACAATTGCTTGCTCGATACTTTGTTTCTACCCCACCCTTGATTTTTTTATGGGCCTTCTTTCGATTGATTTAAAATCCGAAGTTCTGTTTGAGTTTCTGGAGCAAGTGTTAAGTTCCCCAGCAGGTTGCTATGCCTGTCCTGGATTCTCAGGACTACTAATTAATATCATACTTGTGTCTCCGGCTCTCATATGGTTAAAAGTATACTATATATTACTAAACACGAGCTGACAGCGTAAGTTCCCTTGTAATAACGTATTTCCTTTTATAATTCCAAAATCACAATGTTTCTCGGCGGTTCTGAAATTTTACTTTTTCTGAATATACACTGAGTGGTCACAAGTAAATAAACACCACCTTTTCAGAAAAAATAAATTTTTTCAGTCATATTCACATGAATTGATATAT